AACAACAATAAAATAGTATATGGATGTAAAGGAAGCACGAGATATGTGTCAGGAGCCAAATGGAAGTCTGTAGCAGGTTTGTTGTAGATGTAAATTACATGTGAAGTAGATGCAAAATTTTTGCAATCCGCGGATGCAGATGCGGTTGCGGATTTAAGTGGTTTACATCCGCGGATGCGGATGCGGAGTTCAAGTGTTCTTTTCGGAAAAACTACTTTTTAGGGTAAAAATTAACTAGAAGACGATAATTTTATATTTTTTATTTATTAACAAAATTTTGAGTAAAAAATATTAATCAAAATACTTTTTTTAGGTTACAATAAAAAATTAATAATCAAAATTATAAGTTGGTGCATCATATTTAATGAAAAGTAATATCGCAGCTTTATCAACCTTCAGCCGGTTCCTTAGTGTACTTGCGTGCACACTCAGAGAGAGTTTTCAATTCTCCTCAATTTACTTTCCATCAGGTTCTTTTTCTGCCGATACAGACCAACTCTTTCTTTGAAAGAGCATCCGGGTTTTCAGGTGTTTCTTTTTAACCTTAATCTTCACTGATTTTCATGAGTGAGGACGAATGTCTAACATCAAGGCAATATTGAAAACTTACAGACTCGGAACAATTATTTGTAGGCCATATAAACACTGGTTCCGTGCGGGATTCGAACACGCGTTCCTTACCGCTGCAAGTCACTCAATTAATTTGTATGTTAATTATTAACTAAAGTGAAAACATGAAAAATATCCGAATTCAATCAAACTCAACATCAAATACTACTATATAAACATACAATTATTTTAACCGAATTCAAAAAGGAGGAGGTTCTCAAATCAGATGTTTATATATTTTTTGTTTTTCAAATTGCTTTCAAAATATTGCTTTTAAAGTAAAAATATCAAATCAAAATCGTGTGTAAATAAATCAATAATAATATCACATTGTAAACCTCTTCTTTTTTTCTTAAATTTGGTCCAATTAACACTTTGAATTATAAAATAATTGAAAAATATAAAAGTTAGTGAACAGTAAACTTGTGAACGCATTTGATACATTTTTAGAAAGAGTGCCTATAGATGTGAATTTATTTTCGTCAAGTCTGGCTGTGAGTTTTTAAACTTATAAAACTAGATTGAAATTTCAATTAATCTGCATCATCCTTTTTATTCTTCAACTGTTTTCCGTTATTCGAGTTTTCGAACAAACAAAAATTTTCTGGGTGCATCGATTTAAGATGATTTAGCCACGCTGCAGCTACGTGGTTGTAGCAAGAATGGGTCGGCTCGAGCGGGACAGAACCATGAGTGAGTGTGACTCACAGAATACCAGCGTGAAATAACAGCTTGATGCTTCTGTGTTTCGTATGGTGAGTGTAGAGAACCGGAGATCCATTTTACTGGAATCGAGGCATTCCATCTATATCATCCTCAGGAGTGACAACGCATCTGCATTTTGATTCCTAATCGAGGTTAAATGTAGATGTCTACGGGCTACAGCATCCACTTACCATCAGGTGGACTGTGTGTTCGTTTGTCACCCTATTTCTATAAAAAAAATTCAAAGAAGTTACGTACCTTTCGTGAGTAACTTTTTTTTACATATTTTGCACAGAGACTTATGCCGATCACTTTCATCTAATTTAAAATAAGTTCAGATATTACTTTGTACTGGTGGCAACATTTTTATTCACTTTTTTAAATTTATAACTTATTCGATGAAATATTTATGGAACACAACTTAGTTAAACGGAGTAAATGAATGTTGGACTGTTCTTTTCCTGAATTACATCGATTAAAACAAATGTTGCATGTTGTATAAATGTCGAATCTTGTCACCGGCGTGTGCATTCTCATTTTATGATCGTGTTGTGACTTGATCTACATCTGCATCCGTATCAAAGATCCGTATTTATTTATGCGGATACAAATGGAAATGCAGATGTCCAAATCAGTGTAGATCTTCCGCATTTGCGGATGCGGATTCGAATGTACGCAACACCACTGGTCCGTAGTTTCTGCCTACCCTTCTTTCTTCTTTCTAGGTATCAAACTATAGAACCATCAAAAAATAAATATTTGTGATTATAGGAATCGGGCATAAGCTATTGAGAAGCTAAATCATGATTAGGTTCTCAATAACAAGTTAACAAGTGCCCGACATTTAGGTACTCCGATTTAAAGGATGAGTGTTGTAGGTACCATTAAAAATTTTGTTCTTAATATTATAACTTTAGTCGTATTTGTTCATATCAAAAGTAACGATTTCTTGTTTTCTAACCACTGTTATCCGGCAATTCATTTGATGGCTCCGTGGCGCAGTGGCTTAAAGATAAAGATACATTTATTGCATAACTGCGTACAATATGATCTTAGTACAAAAACATATAGTTTTAGGTTCAACAGTTTACCCATGTCGCATATGCAACAATTTAGGAAATAAATTTAAAATTTACTATTATTAAATTTATTAAAAAAAAAACTCATTAAGTTTGTAAACAACATTTTCTATTAACAATTTCTTTAATTTTGTTTTGGACATATTTCCATTCAATTGTTTAATAGTTGGTGGTAACTAATTGTATACACGAATAGCAGTAATATAGGTACTTTTATAGTAAATCATATTTTTAATAATAGGTAAGCTTATATCATATTTATATTTATATTGACGCTTAGCAATGAGTTCCCGTTCGAATCCCGAGCGAGATTTGATAATATTTAATAAAGAACAATAGTGGCTTACAAATAATTGTTCCGGGTCTGGATGTTTGCCCTTGTGCAATTTATGTTTGTAAACTGCCTCCATGATAGAGGAGAAAATCCTAGTATGGGGAAATCCTAGTATATAACGTTTTTTTAAGAATATGTAGTCTCGTTAGTGTATCTGTTTATCGCACATCCACACAATGTAATCAATATTTATCAACCAAAGTGACAATATTGAGTTGTTTAAATTTCCAAGATTAAAAATCACTAAACCTTTACCGAATAGATGGGGCTATAGGCGAGTTATTAATAAACTTTATAATTACACCATAAAGTTTCAAGTGATTGCTACCGGAAAGGGCAGAGGAACATCCGAGCCAACTTGTATATTTGCAATCCAATGCAGGAAGTTTGCGAATTTAAGTTAAGACTGTGTATGGATGTAGGTAATAGTTAAAAGGAAATGAGATCATCTAGATGTTTACGTATGTAAATTAAACACCTTTACGGAAATTTTGTATTTTAATGTGAGTACCTACTTTATCAAAACTAACTTGATAACGAATAAGTTACTTCTGTTGCATAAATTTTAATTTACTCCAGTAGAAGATTTACAGGCGTCCATAGAGAAGATGGTAATGAATTACCAAGATTCATTTTCGGAACAATAAGGTTTATTTTTATTACAATTACGCCAATATTTAAACATCAAACGTATAGAGGCACTATCTTAAATGGTAATAATAAAATATGAATTCCATGAGGGCATCCAAAACTTTTTATGCCACCAGGGCAGCACCGCTTTAGAAGTAGGTGAAATATTTGATCGATTTGATAGAGGCGAAGTTAAATTGTTATAAAAATATTAAGGTATTTTTTTTAATGTACAAAATAATTAAGAATGCACCCCCCAGTGGTTGGCTGTTGTTTGTGTATATACACAGTTCATTTACATTTTTTATAGAATAAGGTTGTCAAAACTAGCACACAGTTGAACTGATGGTAAGCGAAGTATAAATATGAAGATAGATCTCGGGCAGGAGGAGTAATTTAATAGTACGTGAGCAACCCGGATTCGATTCTCGCCTGTACTAAACAAAAGAGAGCGGGTTGGATTTTATTTAGCTATTATAACGAAGATGTTGCTGCCCATCCCCTGGTTCAGTTTCCCTCTGTCGCCCCTACGACACCCACGGGATGATATGGGGTAGTGAATATTCTTATATCGGCGCCGTTCCGAGTATTGTATATCTGTTATACGAGTATAGGACGTAAGGTCAAGTGTCATCGGAGGACATGCGATATTTAGTAATTTATAACTGAACTGCGGTATGTTTACCTTAGTCGTCACGCTTCGCGGTTGTTTGATTTTATTTGTTATCCAAAAAATATTGCTATCATTATGACTTTATACTCACATAATATTTTATGTGCCATGTATAAAGCCAAAGCTGCACTTACAAAAAGTTATTTTTACTTTTTATAAGCCAGTGCTTGACCACAATCCCACCTGGTGGTAAGTGCTGATGCAGTCTTAGATGGTAAATCGCACTGTCTTAGCGTAACAAAAGCCTATTCACTTTTGCCTTGAAGACGCCCAGATTGTATTCGGACGGAAAGATAGACGCCGTCAAATTATTCCACTCCTTTGATGTACGCATTAAAAAGTCGAAGTAAACCGTTTGGTTCTGATGCGTAGGATATCGGCAACAAGGGAGTGAAGACACGCCGACCACCTGGTCGTCCGATAGTGGAAAGGAGAACCACACTCTCCGAAATGCATCCTATAGAATACCGAGAGGCTAGTTACTCTGCGCCTGTGCTCAAGGCTGACAAGGTTGGTTTCAACCAAATCAAGGTCACTAGAGCCTTTTAGCACGTCTCTACTCTGAGTCCAACGCTGTCTGGTGACATTTTGCAGCACCAGCCTATATGTGACAGCAGTACTCCGTGCACGACCGTACTTGAGCTTTATATAAGAGAACATGTTGCCCCGGCGGTGAAGTACCGCCGCACTCTTCTTTCTGGACTCAATGAACCACCCATAGTTGAGGTTCGGAGAAAATTCAACCCCTAACGACTGAAGTCGGGCAGTGTACTCCAAGGATACATTTTGGAAAGTAAGACCCAGAGTGAGCGGGCTGCTTTTACAGAAATTACAGACAGTAGTACAGACTATTTTTGATTATTTTTACTCTAATAGTGTCTAAAAAGTATAGAAGGTTTGCAACACAAAAAGGCTATGACGTTTAATGTTGTATGTAATTTAATTTATTTACTTTATATTGTCTTATTATTTACAATGTGTATTTTCTTCCATAACCGCCATATGCAGTACCAAATCCTCCAAATCCATAGCCTCCGTGACCCTGGCCCCTATAAGATATTGCTCGGCCATATGCTCTGTGAGCACCATATGTTGAAGAGTAAGCAGCGACTGGCGCAGCGTAAGTCTTTGCAATAGGGGCCGTGTGTATGTTATACTGGGAGACGGTGGAAATATCTGGTCTGGTGTGCGCGGCACTTGCGCCATAACCGCCATAATCTTGAGAAGCATATCCAAGGTCGTTTGAGTATCCAGTTCTGTATCCTAGGCCTTCTCCGTGTCCTAGGCTCGCTTCATATCCGAGATCAGCGCCTTGTCCTAGGCCAGTTGCGTATTCCAGTCCGGATCGATGACCCAAGTTTGTTGCGTATCCTAGCCCGGACGAGTATCCGAGCGCGGAACCACTGTAGAGAGTTCCGGCACGAGTCAGACCGAATAGGCACAGTAGTACTGCAATCTGTAACAACAAAAATAAATATAACGTTCGTCATTTTCGAAGAAACAATAACCATGAATCTAATTTAACATTGACGGGTGATTATAGCATCTCTAATCATCATCGTATAAATCATTATTACAACCCTTCACAAGTCCTCTGTTGAATATAAGCTGAAGTGGTTTACTGACTTATATTCAGCATTGCAGTGGACAAGTATTGCCACAAATCATAATCCGAAAGTAGATAGCAGCATCTTCGTGATTGATTACCTTTGTGTTAAGTGTTGGCACCTAAGGTAAACACATCTCTATAAGCAACGACATTTCTAATGTGCCAATGGTAGTTTTTTTAGACAATTATTTTAATTTAGTAATTTTAATTTTTATCGCTAGTTTGGGTAAAAACCTCAGTCGTGGGAAGAACCATTACTAAGTTGTGACAATTTTTATGCCTTAGATTTATTCATATTAAAATTTCCGAAAAGTAACTCACATCTAGTGCAATATCTAATAAAAAGCTAATTGAGCAATAAAGTAAGAAATGTGGGACAAAATATTATCGTGCATAAACATTTTTAAGTACAAAACTAGAGCACTGAAATAAATCCTTTCTTTATGTTAGGACTTATGGTTAGGATAGTTTTGGATGTTTGCCAACTCTACTTATTTTATAACTCTGTCTTTATAAATACACTCTTGGAATACAAGTGGCAATGAAGAAGAGTTTCGTTCACTAAATAAAAATATAATAAAATAATTTTCTATTAATAAGGATTCTAGCTAAAACTCACCTTAGCCGCCATTGTTGTAAATTCTTTAGCAGTGAAGAACAGAATGTTTTTCGGAGCGAATATTTTTGTTTATATATGCAGATGTCGGAAATGTAATAACCTCGTTATTGCTAATGTTCATGAATTTAACAGCAATTGTTCTATGATCATAGGTTTTATAATTGACGTAATTATAATTGCACTTCTCGAGCGGATCAATGTCGAAGGTTTTTTAAAAAAAAGGATTCATTGAATAAAACGATTTTTACTGATGTAGTTGTGTTTAATTTAATTAAATATCTGCGACACAATGAAATTCAAGAGTGAAAAGGCATCAAAATTCTATTTTTTACGGCTCTACCGTACTGTAGAATTTTTATAGAATAAGGTTAACAAACGAGCACACAATCCTGATGGTAAGTAGATGCTGTGGCCCATAGACTTCTACATTTATCTTCAATTAAGAATCAAAATGCAGATGCGTTGCCAGCTCTGAGGACTAAGATGGAATGCCTCGTTTCCAGTAAAAAGGGTCTCTGGTTCTCTACAGTTACCATACGAAACACTACAGCATTAAGCTGCTATTTTACGCTGGTATTCTGTGATAGCATGGTCCTACCCCGATCGAGCCGACCCATTCGTGCTGCAACCACAATATAGCTGCAGCGTGGCTCTACCACGTAGTTTTAATGCTGTAGCACGAATTAGTTGGTTTTATTGATTAGAATATATTCCTTACGTTCTTATAGAATAAGTTCAGTAAAATTATTGTTACACTCTATAATCTATATATACGACCTATAGCTGGGTATATTCTCAGGCTGGCTCATTTCTAGGAGGATTTTAAAGCAAGTAAATGACGCGCTACCCCATTGCGTGTTCACATGAATTTGAATTATTTTTTAAATTTTTAGACATGCAGGTTTTCTATGTTTTCGTTCACCAGCAAACACTTGGTAAACAGATCTTAAAATTCCAAAAAAAAAATTCATTGGTACCGGCAGGGATTGAACCGGGTTGCTTTTTTTATAGAATAGGGTGACAAACAAGCACACAGTCCACCTGATGGTAAGTGGACGCTGTGACCCATAGACATCTACCTTCTTTATCTTCAATTAAGAATCAAAGTGCAGATGCGTTGCCAGCCCTGAGGCCTAAGATGAAATGCCTTGTTTCCAGTAAAATGGGTCGCCAGTTCTCTACACCTACCATACGAAATACAACAGCATTAAGCTGCTATTTTGCGCCGGTATTCTGTAAGAGCGTGGTCCTACCCCGGTCGATCCGAACCATTAGTGCTGCAACTATACTACTGATATGGCTCTACCACGTATAAAACGTTGCTCGCGTACTCTGAAATTTAGTTAGTTAGTGTCAGTTAGTGCTTAGCCATTGAGTCTTGAGCCAGTCTCACAGAACATATCAGTGTAAAACAGGAACATAATGCTGCTGTGATCAATATAATAATTGTTGAAGCCGAGATCCATGTTCCTCGTAGAGAGGTATTCCATATTTGTCCGCAAATGTGACAATGTATAATGTTTTTGGATTCTTAATTGAGGATTGAAGTGGGTGCTATATGTATGTAATCCACTTATCTTCAGGAAAAATGTGCTCGTTTGTCACACTTAACTGTACCAATATAATATGTCTAAAAGCCGTAATGACATAACTTCAAGTAGGTTGTGTGATAATTTGTCATTTCCTGTCACAAAAAATCACAAAAACTAGTTAATTGTCTACTATATATAAGATAAGGATATCCCGCACGGAAAAAGTATTTGTATGGCCTACAAATAATTGTTCCGGATTTGTATGTTTGCCCTTGTGCACTTTATGTTTTTAAACTGCCTCCACGATACAGGAGAGATTTGAAGTATGGCGGTATCGTTTATTGAAATAAAGAAAAGAAGAAAAAAAAAAGAATATCGATACGATGGTCAATTTGTTTGGAATTTTTCTTTTTAAATTGAACGAATTTTACCTATGCCTAAATAACATGTAAACGCAAATAACATGTAATTTTGACAATATCGACTCGAGTTCGATTCCTCTTATTCCTCAATTTAATATATTCTTTCATCAAAATTTATTGGCTAGTTTACAGTAACATAGTAAGTAACATAGTAAGAACCTAATGTTAAGAAAGGCTGGAGCCTGTTGTAAGTTTATAAATACAGGTTTTTTACATATAAAATTAAAAAAAGAACTTAATTTCGTTAGTCTATCCTTGTGGATAGGTTACATATTTAGGCATTTGTTTTATTATTCTAGTAACTTAGGATATTAGAACATCACATAGCACAATACGCAATATGTTCTCACAGTGTCCAGTAGCATAGCGCAAAGGAAATAGATAAAAAAGCGTTATAAAAATTTACATTATGAGTTACATATAAAAGTTACAACCCCCATGAGCTACAATACAAAGAAATGACTCCCAGCCCCTGGAGGCCGCGCTATTCCTGGCTACGGTGGTACCATCGATTACAATGGTTTTAATACCCACCACCAACGGCAGGGCCATTAGGCCCTGCCGTTGGTGGTGGGTATTAAAAACCTCCGGTGGACAATCGTTTTCCACCTAAGACGACTCAAGTTGGCATCATTCTACGCACGCACCCTTAAACTAACAAGAAGATGTTGGAGCTGAAGGAGGAGTTAGACAAGTTGTGCTGGGATATTATAGGATAATTTGAGTTCCGAAAGAAGGCGAGGACACGGTAATCTTCGAATCCGGCAACTTGTTCTATCACCGGGAGGGAAACTATGTGTTGTTTTAAGGTGGTGTAGGATTTATCATCCACAACTCTCGTTAACAATTTTGTAATGATTGGGAGTGTGTCGATGAGGGTTGCATATCTTATAATTAGAATCACAGGTTTACGCACCAACCTCAGTATATTCCGATGAGGTGAAGGAAATATACGAGGATATTTCAAAAGCCATGCATGGATTCGTCCAAAATTCACTATACGGTGTTAATGGGAGGCTTCAACGCAAAACTAGGCACAAAAGAGAACGATTATATATAGCCTTATATATATATATATATATATATATATATATATATATATATATATATATATAACAGGCAGGAGATGGGCAGCAGCATCTTCCTGATAACAGCAACTGTACGACAAAAAAAAAACTGCGGTTGCCAACCCGCTCGCCAAGCGTGGCAACAATGGCAATATACCCCCCATGAACAATTACACAAATAGACGGCCCCCAGTCCCCGGCGGCTCCGCTATTCCTGGCTACGGTGGCGACCATGGTAACGACGGGGCAGGGGGTGCTAAGAATCTGCGGTGGAGGTTCGGTTGCCACCTGCGACGACTCGACCTGGCAACATTTAACTCACGCACACTGAGGACTGACGAGAAGATCCTGGAGCTGGAAGAATGGTTTGCAAGTCTCTCGTCAACAACGTTGTAAAGATTGGGAGTGTGTCGACGAGGGTCGCGTACCTGATACTCAGAATCACCAAACGGTATTCGCTGAAGGTCATACAGGTTTACGCACCAACCTCGGCACATTCCGATGAGGAGGTGGAGGAAATGTATGAGGATATTTCCAAAGCCACGCATTCCTCCAAAACCCACTACACGGTGTTGATGGGAGACTTCAACGCAAAACTAGGCACAAGAGAAAACGGTGAGCTGAAGTTAGGGAAATTTGGAGTAGGGCCACGGAACCGAAGGGGCCAGCAGCTGGCCGACTTTATGGAGAAAGAGGGACTCTTTATGATGAACTCTTTCTTCCAGAAGCGGCCCCACAGGAAGTGGACCTGGTCAAGCCCCGACGGTTCGACAAAAAATGAGATTGACTTCATTATGACGACCAGACGCCAACTGTTCAGTGATGTCTCAGTGATCGCAAGGGTGAAAACTGGCAGCGATCACCGAATGGTTAGAGGCACACTGAACCTAAACGTTAAGTTGGAGAGGTCTCGTCTAATGAAGTCAACGCTCCGTCCCCCTCGTGCTCTAATCCAGAATTCCGAAAACTTTCAGCTCGAGTTACACAACCGCTTTCAGTGCCTACAAGATTGCAATGCAGTGGACGATATGACTGACAAGCTCGTGGAAACTGTCCATGCGGTCGGAGCTAAGTTCTGCAAGACCCGCCGCAGAAGAACACAAAAACTCTCCGATCACACTCTTAATCTCATGGCTGTTAGACGGGAGATGAGGCTGCAATCGTCAACAGATTTGACAGCATACAGGCAACTGAACAGACAGATCTCCAAATGCATGCGGCGAGACTTACGCAACTTTAATACTGCTCGTATTAAAGAAGCGATCGAGCGGAACCAGGGCTCCAAAGTCTTTGCCAGAGATCTGTCTGCCCGTAAGAGCCAACTGTCAAAGCTGAAGACTGAGTGTGGCAGCATCGTTTCCGGGACACCTGAGATTTTGAGTGAGATTGAGAGGTTCTATGGGCAGCTGTACACATCATCGTTGGAGCCACACGCAAGTGTGAGTAATGATCCAAGAGCAAGTCTTATCCGACACTATTCCGATGATATCTCGAACGTCAGTCTAAGCGAGATTAGAATGGCTCTCCAGCACCTTAAAAACGGCAGGGCCCCAGGCGAGGATGGAATTACAGCGGAGCTTCTGAAACCGGGTGGAACACCGGTACTTGAAGTCCTTCAGAAGCTCTTCAATTCCGTCCTCCATGGTGGTACTACTCCAGAGGCGTGGAGCAGAAGTGCGGTGGTCTTGTTCTTTAAGAAAGGCGACAACACTCTCTTGAAGAACTACAGACCGATTTCCCTACTGAGCCGCGTCTACGTGCTGTTTTCGAGAGTCATTACGAATCGTCTCGCAAGCAGACTCGACGACTTTAGGCCTCCCGAACAAGCCGGTTTCCGAAAAGGCTTCAGTACCATAGACCACATACATACCCTGCGGCAGATTGTACAGAAGACTGAAGAGTACAATTTGCCACTTTGCCTGGCGTATGTGGACTATGAGAAAGCCTTTGATTCCGTTGAAATTTGGGCGGTGCTGCAGTCCCTTCAGCGG